GGGGATCAAATCGTTAAACTGCATTGCGTAGACGTGCGCGAGAACTAATATCACCTGATGGAGAGCCCCGACGGCCTTTTTTTCGCCAAACGTGAGCCCTCGAAGGCGTCCAAAAACGAGTAGTTGTGTGGAGGATCCCGACTTGACGGTGGGAGGCTTTTTTGTTGGGGCCGGTACACTTTGGATGCGGTCAGCAAAGGGTGTCTCCAACTTCACAATTTGAAGGGCGGACTCCTCTAGATTGGAATCATTTAATGGCGTGGACGCGGGTCGCTTTGCACTCGCCAGCTTGGGCCTGTTTTTTTTAGTATTCTTGTCCAAAAGGTTAGTTTGATCGTTGAGACTCCCATTACTGGTCTCTGAGCGTGTTAAATGAATTACGCCGTTTGAAAGTCGTTCACCTGAATCGACCCCCACAGAAGGACCTCGGACTGGCGATGGACACTTAACGACGGAGCGCACTTTTATCGCCGGATGCGAACTTTCCGGAGGTTTTTTACGCAGCATTTGCACCACTTGGCCAGACCCCTTCGCGTGCTGACGATAATTTTTCTCGAGGCTTTTGAAGGCCGCCTCCAAGTCCGAGATCATATAAGGAGAAAGTTGGCCAAATGGAGCATTGGCCACTACAAATTGCTTTACTAATGCCACCAAAGATGGATCGCCATTGCCAAACATCGTCACCGCGCGAATCAGCGCATCGTAGTTCATCTCCACACGCATCAAGGTGAGAGAACGCACCAGTAAAGGCGCGTAAGAGGAGAGGAGCGAGAGATAGGAAACCGTTGCGTGCAATGTCGAGACGGCAAACACGGACCTTTCGTCTTCGCTTCTCAATTCCATGAAGTCTAAGGAAGCCACCATCACCTCTTCGGCGGCTTCTATTTTGTACGGAAGCATTAGTTCATTTGGAAGCGAATTAAAGATGGATATGGTGCCATCTTTTTCAGTGTCTTTATAAATCTGATAAGCAGACCGTGCCGTAATCATTAGTCCTACTGGATAGTGTTCCTTCTATATAAATTATCTGTGAATAATGTCAAAAAGAAAAGATGTATTATGTGACAATCTGGAAATATATATGTATAGATATATATCGATTCTATTTCTATCTTTAATTATCAGCCTATTATTTGTTTCGCTTTTTTTTTTAAATGTGCATGTGCGTTTATTTGGTATCGCCTCAAGAGGAAATTATGATATGTACTAAACAGTGAAATTTGCTTTTAATAGTATATTTGAGGCGCTTCAAATTTAAACCCACCCTTTTCATACGCAGAAAGGGAATAATAAAAAAAAGATTAAGGGGTAAAACAATAAGGTCAATGGTTCGAATGGATAAAATATGTATTGAGTTCTAGATCTCAAACATTTCTGTTATTTCAGTCGTTAAAGCCTCCAATTTTTTTCTTTTAATTTTTTTTCGTCCGAGCCCTCACTAATATTAAGGTCCCAGGAGTTTCCTTAGATCAGTTCAGTAATAAGGTTCTCGTCAAGGGAGGTGTATAAGTTGAGAAGGACCGGTTTACCACGGCGCCGCGTGGGAGCTTCCTTGAGGCGATAGAAAGTCTCCCCCGTGGCGCCTTCCTGTATGATACCCAACCTTGACGTATTAGCAGCGGTGTTGGTACTATCTTCGTTCTTTGCACCGAAAGAAAAGTACGGGCCTTGAGACCACAAGGGATCCAGGCGCTCTGATAAGTTCGTCCCGTTTTGCAAATGCGGCGTAAAGTTTGAGGACGTGTCCAGCTTTAACAAAGGAAAGGGTTCTAAACCTCCCAACGGGGTCACCCGCTTGAATTTCTCGTAATTTGTAGATTCATTGTACAAAGAGGTGACGACTTGGTGATTTTGGATGATTTTCTGTGCGGTAAAGCGGGAGCACGGCAGGATCGAGGCCTTCTTGGTGTGGTAAAGCGACCCCGCCAGTTCCTGCACAGCATCGTTTTGGCCACGCAAACTCGGGTCGGCCCGCACAAGCTGTAATTGGTTCTCTCGGATAATCCGTCTAAGCGCCCCTAACAGATGGTCGACGTGGTACATGAACATCACATGCCCTAATTCCTCCATGGTATGGCCTACTAATGCGCGAATCGCGTAGATGTCCTTTCCAAATGGTATGGCATGGCGTGTGGTCCCCAAGTCGAGCTCTGTCGACCACAAATAAACCTCCAACTCCCCAAAAAGCGTTTCCACCACGTCACTTTTGAACTTGCTCACGACGCGATCACTTTGCGTTAGTTGTTGGAGCTCCAGGTAGTCGTAGGCACGTGCGAGGCCGTCATTCCCGTCGATTATAAATTGCGCGTAGCCCAGCTTCCCGCGAATCCCCCCCTCGTTCACCGGAAAGATACAACTCAGCCGATTATTAAACATGTACTTCACGACATTATCGCCCATCCACTCCAGCCGCTCAAACTCCCACGAACGCCCCGCGCCGGAGCTGTTGGAGTGGACGTTAAAGGCATCGCGAAGCACCCCACGGTCGGTGAGAAAGCGCAGAAGATACTGCAGCCTGCGCTTTCGCCGGTGGGGATCGGCGTGGCTGAGGTTGGGGATGCGGCGAAAGTCGTCGGAGGCGTGGAGGCGGTCCCACCACATCTGCGTGATCGCCTCCGGGGTCCCGCAGTACGGGCGGACCATCTCCATCAGTAAGGCCTCGCGCCCGCTGTGGGGGATGCCGTTTTGGTGTGTATGCCAGGACATAAACGACTCATTGCAGAGCTTGCACCGCTTCGCGTCGTAATCGCAGAACATGTCGAGGAACTTCTTCACCGAGACGTCCACGCTGAGGGGGATGGCTTTGGTGGTGTGGACGTCAATGGTATCCCGCCGCGAGAGGTGGATCAGCCAGTGCGGGTCCGCGGCGTCGGCTGGGGCCGCCGCCTCCATGGACGGCCGATCGCCGTAAAACACAAACCCCGAGGACGACCGCCGGGGTCGCTTGAGATGCGCGTCCTGCTGCGCAAGGGTCGAAAAGTTGTAATAGGCCGGCGGGTCAGTCGGGGGGCGCTTGGGGGGGTCACCGGACAGCGAGGTCGCCGCGCTGGGGTCCTTTCGGGGGGTCGATAGCTGAAAATACCACCGCCGCGGCGTTCGATTCGGGTGGGAAAGGACTTGCGTTAGGCAGCCAGAACTCCGTTCAGCCTTGGTGCAGAATTTTCGGATCAAAAATTTCATACCCATTCGCTCGTTTTCGTTAGATTTCTAATAACTCACGTCGTTTCGCTTATATCACATTTACGATAGAAATTGGAACAGTTATTTCATCAGAGGGTTTCCTTTTTTTACCTTTTACCAGTAGCTTTGGAAAAAAAAGTGAGGAACTACAGTGCTGACTGCGTTAAACAAACAAACCAAAAAGATGTTTAAGCATATGCATATATATATATATGTATTTGGTTGCATTCGGTATAATTTAATACGCATGAGTAATTCAACTCAACCATAATTAGATTACATAAATGTTGTGTCCTCCTTGCAAACACAAAGTAGGATGGGAATCGACAGGTGAAATACGCCGATAAACTTTTAGGGAAAAATAAGTCTTGGACTACTTCTTTTTTCGATCTCTGGGAATTGGAGTACCTCCTCGTACTGTGACGCTTAATTTGGATTCTAGAGCTGTAATTTTTTCTTCCAATGCATCCAGGCAACCTAAAGATTGCTGACACACAGCTTCACGAATGGCCTGTAGCTGCTCCTTAAGGTTAGATTTATAAATCGGATCATTCAGACAGGACTCTTGGTAGAAATGTTCATTCATAGAAGCTGATCGTTCATCCTCTTGCTTTAACATTTCATTTTCCCGCTCTTGCTCGATATCCTCAATTTTTTTCTTCCACGCGCTCTCGGAAAGCGCATCGGTGAGAGGTGGCAAAACAATGGGCGGGATCTCTGCGGTCACCCCAAGATGCACCATTTGTATGCTCTTGACTTGTTTGGGTACAAAGGCATAAATATACATTTTGTAATGCCGATAGTAAGTCGAGAGAAGATACTCATCGATAGCTTGGACGTCTTCAAGGGTAAAAATTGCGGTGGAATACGGCGGTCGAGCTACGCTGTGTTGAATTATGAGATTTCGCAGTAAATCGTACGATCCAGCACGCGTCAGACGCTCGGACATGCTTTGCTCGTGTAATTTATGAACAATTGCTACAAGAGTGCTAATTTTATCTGACGTTATGGAACAGCTTTTCGCAAACACAATCAAGTGCGCATAAAGATCTAAAAGAATTCGAACCTGCCCTTCATTGCGCTCCTTTATTTTTAGAAAGCTATCTTGCTTGCGTTCATTGCAATCCCGTAAAATAGGCCGAATTTCACCGATGTCACTCGCATGGTGCACGCACTTTTGGGTATGCTCCGGGTCGAGAATAGCCCACATTAGTGTCTGAGACATTAGTTTGTGAGGCCCAGTCTAGTCTAAAATCTGAAAAACAAAAAACAAAAAAACACCGAGTCCGAAAAGCTAGACTCCACTACTACAGAAAGAACTCATGAGATATGAAGAAAAGAGGTGTTCTAAGTGGAACAATCACCACCTTTATGAAGATCGGTTGCCATCAATCTCCTTTGATTTTACAATTAATCAATATTTATTTGATGCATCTTTCCATATTTATTTTTTTTTGATCTAGAAGGAAATAGTAAGTTTTCCTTAATATTTTTTTCCCTTTGTGGATAAATGTAGGGAAGGTTTCTCAATTAAACTTGGTAATCTATGCATTCCTAAACACAATTTTTTTGAAATGGTTAGAATACCCCAAGCTAGGAAACTCACCATCACACGTTGCGATGGACACATGCACTCTACCAAAAGCGTTGGGGAAATCGTGGCATTGAACTTCCAAATAACATACCCGAAAACCGGAAGCAGCAGCGGTAGCCATTCCTCACCTATTTTGAGCGATAGAAAGAGGAACCGGTAGATTCTATTTTTGATGCTGCGCTCCCGGTGGGCGCCGCGGTAAGACGGGGCACTTCGGAGGGCCGCTTTCAAGGCCCACCACTTCACCGCCATAAGGAGATACAAAACAGCTCCCGACAAGAATACAAAACGAATGATGGTGTAAAAACGCCACGGGATATCAGACGCCACCAAGCCGGTCGCGCGCGTCAGCATCCCCGTGGAAGGTGACGGCAGCACCTCCATCGCCGGCAACCCCGCATGACAGCCAAGACGATAAACCGCAATAAGCGATAAACACACCATAAGCACCTGCTCCGGCCCCTTTTCGGGCTTTTTCGATTCCTTCACTGACTTTCCTTTTCGCTCGGATTTTTGGATCTGACTGTAGGACGCCACCAAATCCTGAGTCCACTCTTTTAGCCGTGATAGCTTTTTTGTCAGAAGCTTCATTTTAACCTGCTGGGCTTGGTTCGCACCATCGTTGTTAACCAGGAGGCCCTTCACTCGCTCACGTTCGTAATTCACCAGCGGCAAGGCTAAGGAAAACAAAGGCAGGCTGAGGGAATAGATTCCCTGAACCGCATTCTGATCTTGAAGAAGAGAATTGTTGATGTTTTGCAAAAGCTGAGTGGTGCGTTTTTTAATTTCTTCCTTTGTAGGTGATGCCTCCACATTTGCAGAGCTGTTAGGCACTTTTGCATAAAAATCCGTTAGGATGAATTGTAGCTTCTTCTGCTCATGAAGTGCTTTGTTGAGGATTTCGGTATTAAACAGCAAAAACGATGGAATAAACGACAATAATCGCTTTATTCTACTCGCATGAGGATCGTAAATTGTATGAGTGAAGCACTTAGTAAAGATGGTTCGAATAGTGTGCGTCGCTGAGGATCCCTGCAAATGATCCTCATCCAATAATGAAATGCTGACATTTTGTACCGCCTCTACAAAGCGTGTCACTGCCTTCAACAGTTCCAATTCTTTTTCATCATCGGGAGTGGGACTATCGGCAAGTAAAGAATTATAGGCCGCGTAGCGCTGCTTCATTGCGGAGATTTTAAAGAAATCTATCTGAGGTGCGGCGTGGTCAACGGTATCCATGCCCTTCTGTGCGTAGCTCTTTTGCATCCCCTTCTCCCATTCCCAATCCAACGCTGCCTTCCGCCATTGCGTCCAAACCGCGTGCCGCTCGTCCGCATCGCGAAAGAACACCGCCTCTGCCTCAGGGAAATCCCCATACAGCCAGTGCCCAAGCCATGGAAGCGGCGGAACTTTATCCGAAAATGGTAAGATATCGTGAGAAATCTGAACCTTATTCGGTGAGGCGTCGCGATTCTCTAATTCGGTCTGGTTATCAGCAAAAACACTCACTGAGAGGACAACTGTAACTAGAGCTATGCTAATGAGTAGTTTACAAAATAGAGACATTATAAAGCTTAAAATACAAAAAAAGAAACAACTAATATGAACCTCCTTTTTTTTAGTGCTATAGACTTGACTAAACAAAGACTCAGGAGTGTTGTATATATGAATATATAAATTAGATAATTCTGCTTTCATGAAAGAATCCATAACATAGCTGAAAATAACATTCATGAGTGTAGATGTTCACACCAGAGTTTAATCATGACTGAAAAAAGTCGACAAAAGTTGTTCAAGTCTCAAACATTCTTTCCATATCCTATTTTATCAGGCATTCCATCTAAACCAAATTTTCAGGTTATTCCAAAGCGATATTGCTTTGGCACCCCACCGAATCCCAGTCAATCGATGCAGACGGAGGTTATAAACCATTCCTTCGCCACGTTCAAGTGATATTGGCATCTCCTCCCCAAGCTTCACTCCGATTCGATTCCACGGCTCCACCAAAAACTCCCTTTCGAGGGAAGAACCATAATGTTCCCCATCATCGTCATCGCTATTCATGCCACTCTTGCCCCTTTTTAATGGGTTTTTATTACGCAAGTCGTCATCTTCAAGAATTGTACTTGAGAGTGGTAGCACGTCCTTCGATGACAGGTTTGCAGTGAAATTGTAATAATAGGCTAAACGGTTGACCAAATCCCCCACAACATATGTCATGAAGTTGCGTCTCATTTGCGCGGTAAAACAATTCCCATACATATCCCCTAAGAGTGAATAAAGATCCAAGGCGCATTGCGGGTCGCCTGCAGGAAACAACATACTATCATATAGCGTAGAGGAAATATTCTCTAACCACTTCAACTCATCATTACCACCACACCTGGAGCCACTTTTCCCTCCCGTTGCCTCGGTAGGATCCCTCGGATACGTTGGGGTGGTTGAACGATTCATTGCGACGTTGTAGATAATCTGGCTCGTGCATCTCAGGAGAATGGTTTTGGCATCGTCCAGCAGCTGCCGTGAGCTTCTTCGCTGCCCGTTCGAGCTATTCGAAGCCATCCTCGCTTTTTGGATCAATCGCTTTGCGCTCCATCTGTCAATAAACGCCATGAACTCCTGTCGGGACTCCGCCGCGTTATAGCGAAAAGGGGAGTGTCCGTTGAGCGATAAGGCGGTACTCTGACCCCGCAGGCGCGACTTTTCGCGATGCCACTGGGCAATTCGGTGATGTTCTCCCCACATCCGAGCCGTCGTGGCGTTATCCCAAACCTCTTGTGCGAGGTAATCCGCGAAAGGCGCCATAAACCGATTCCGCCTCTCCGCCGCCTCGTAAAAGATCAACGCGAACCCGGTCGCCTCGCCGGATTCCAATGTCGTCGCGAGGAGCCAAGTCGCTATGCTCATCTCTCGCATCCCAGGTGAGGCGGCGAAGGCGTCGAGAAACTTCCCCACAAACGCCGCGGGGCTCTCCCTTGCGCGCCCTGCCGGATCCGCCGTCCACGGCGGTGTCAAAATACTAAGCCCGAGCTCCCGCAAGAGGGCTTCGTGGGTGGTCTCTGTGAAGAGATAAAGGACTGCGTTCCCGAGACGGTCACCCACCCACGAGACCCACGTCCAGTTCGCCGCGGCGACATACGCGTCGACGTCGCGCGCGGCAAGAAGGGGCCGCAACCGCGCCGGGTCGAAATCTCGCCGCCGCCCCTCCCGGAGAAGTCGCAAAACAGCGCGCCGGGAGGCCAACCCGTCCGGCCAAGACTCGGGGGCCGCGAGGCCGCGAAAAAGCAGCTCCGCCGCGGACTCCCCGCCATGGAGGTTGGCCACGGCGAAGGCCAGGACCCGACGTGCGTAGGACCGCGTCGAGTCGTCGCCCCGGGGGAGGTGCGTGTGCCTCCGGCCGACCAAACGCCCATACCCTCTGAGCGCGAGGAGGGAAAGGGTGTGAAGCTGAGATGAACCCCCCGGGATCGCCCTAGCCACCACCCCCGGATCCCCCTCGGTCAAGTTTTCCACCAACCAACTCATCACAACGAAGGCGTCGATTGTGTGGATGGACAGATAGGTTTGGTCCAAGAGGTTCATCTCGTACAGGGTCCGCCGCCATTGATTCATCGCGGTCAGTAACAGCAAGAAGGCCGTCTCCTGTGGGGATTGGCCAAAGGGCACCTGAAAGACGTGGCGGAAAAGGTGGTTCACGTGCCACATGGACGCGGACACCCGAGGTGTGACAGAAGCCCCGCGGGAGAAGTCCCCAGGTCCGCTGGGGGCCGTGTCAACAGGGTCCAACAGCGCACACACCGCCAAGAGGGTCATGGGCTGGCCTATGGCCGCAATGGGGGAGTCCACCAAGGCCAACGGGGGGGTTTGGCTTTGGAAGGCGTCGTAGGGAAGGTGGTGGCCGACACCGCGCGCTAGCTTGATCTCGCCCCAGTTCTGAAGACGGCGATGGAGTTTCGTGGGGTCGAATTGGCGGGTTTCACCCGGTGGGTGGGATCCGGTGCCGTTGGGGGTCGCTTCGTGAGCCGCGCGCAGCTCCTGGAGCTGGTGAAGAACTTTAGGCCGTAGGTCCGCATAAGCGACTTTATGCGCGGCATCGGAAAGATAGACCGACAAGCTCGCATACGCGGCGACGAGCTCGTATTCTTGATTCTTCAGTAGATAAAGGTAGCTGAGCAACATCAGAGTTCGTTGTAGCGTATTGTAGTTCTTTTTCGCCCGTGGAACTGGTAATGTGATGGATTTTGTTGTCTCTTTATGTTCTATTTGAAACCAGGAAGGACAGCTAATGCGAGGACGTGAGGGGTTAGAGAAAAGATCGCCAAGCTCAACTCGGTGTTCCCCGCAGATGCCCTTGTAAAGGCGAGAACGATGGTGTTTCGATTTTTCACTCGCTTTGTTGAGCTCCATCCTGTTCAAGAGATCCATATCACAGAGGTAGCCGAACTTCCGGAGTATTGTCAGGAGTATACACTCAGCTTCTTCCAAGTCTTGCTTGACGCCTATGGGGCCTGTCATCAAGATACTGGCTTTGATAAGCTGGTTGGCTGCTCGAGCTGACAGATGGCCTACCTCACGACCAGAGGCCACATCTCTATTTTCTTCCTCTGAGAGGATATCATCGGCATTACCTCCCAGGTTAAATTCGTCGGGGTTGTAGGGGTCTGAATCACCCATTGATAATATCGATTCGATACTCTTCCGAGAAGCGACAGGATAATTGATGTTCCCGAAAGTGTTCAGTATGGCATAGAAGCGCTCCTGCCTCAGAAGGAGCTCTACCGGAGAGTCCCTATTGAACCCGTCGCTTCTGTTCGTTTTTTGCATTGCAGCACTGTTAATCTGCTTCCGGTGGCGAAAGAGCTGACGAAATATAAACGATGACTTCCCGCGCATCGAACGAAGCAAAAGAGATAGAGCAGCCTTCTGGTGCTGTCTTGTGAGGATGCCATGTTCCCGCAGCGTAGCCAAAGTCGCCGTCGCGTGAGGGGATTCATACCACATGGCTTGGTATAAATCCACAACCGCACGGGCACTAGGTAGGCTATGATATTCCTCAGTTATATGCGTCTGTGGAGTGGTATTGGCACTTCCTGGAAGTTGCAGGAGTTGAAAAAGTGCAGCTAGATATAGGAATTCGCCTTGTTCGGCACGGGAAACATTACAAGGGCACCGTTTATACCTCTGTTGGTGAATGAAGTCCTTCGTTCGTATCAGAAAAGCTTCATTATCAAATTTATCATTCTGCGGTGAAGTACCGAAACCCCACCAATTAGAAAAACTTGAGGACTGCGTTGTTGTCGTTAAATCCCCCGCGAACAAAGAGGAGAAAATAGCGAAACTTTGTGCGGTGGTAATCAGTTGTCCGGTCCGACGCCCCCACTCACGGGTCTCCTGAAGGGCTTGACAAAAATTTACGCATGTTTCCGCAGTCTTTTCGTCAATAACGGCCTTCTCCTCGTCTTCTTCCTCCACATTCTCCTCGTGATTGCAGTGGGAACTTTTCAGCAGCCGACGCAGTTGGACCATGCGGGTGTCGGAGCTCAGAGCCTGTTGTTCTCGCAGGGTTCGCCACGCGCGTGTGAGCTTTATGCAGGCGGTCGATTCTCCTTTTGGTGCCTTGAGAGTTTTATGGCTTTGATAATCTGAAAATGGTTTGGTAAATTCTAAATGGGATTCCCAATCCCAGGTTGAGTGATTCGGCAGTGGCGATACTGCTGCTTCCTGCGCAGGATCCTTTTGAGGGTTGTCGAGGCGCTTTGTTCGAATCCTCCGTTGGAGTTGAAATCGCTCACGGGGCCCTGTATAATCAAAATGAATCCACCGTGAGTCGCTTGACGGACCTTCCGTAATACTTATATCCGCTAATGGGATGAAAAAGTTGTGCGGGTGCGCCTTTTCGTCACCCTCAAGGCTCGCTGGAAGCTTGATTTGGATTATGCCTGGAGGGTTCACACTCGGCAAAGCTGCGATAAATTTATCCGCCGCTTCTAGGGTTGTGTGAGGTGTGAATGGGTCTTTGGAGATCCTCCACGCATCTGGTAACGCGACGAGCTCGAACGATTTTAAACGCTCAAGCCCGTATCGTTGATTCAGCCCTGCTAGGATGCCAAACTTCGGGAATAAATGAAATAGGGGGTTAGGCGAAGAACAAATACCCTTCTCGAGATCACCAAATAAAAGTAGGTCGAGTAGGCATTGCATCTGATCGGGATTATCGGTGTGCACGATGAAGGGAGCCCCGATGCGGGCAAGTACTTTCTTTGTGGCATCACACTTTGCGGACTTCGCAGCATCGTGAAGCGTTTTTTTGCTTAATTCGAGCTCAAGGTCCGGAATGCATCGCCAAGGATCGTAGGGTGGCGATACGGTTACCAACAAAGAAATCCGCGCATGCGAGAGTGGGATTGTGGAGATGAGCGCAACCAGAGTCAAGAGGAACAACAATAATATTCTTTGTATCATAATTGAGAATTTATTACACTATTCATTACACCTATGGTCTCTAACACGGATGTCAGTCCAAAGCTAAAATGAGAAGCAGCCTCTTGAAGAAATGCTATAGGACAACACGAACCAGAAAAGAGAGATTAATGCGTGGTATCATCTAAACAAAAAAAGAATAAAAAAACTGCTACTTTTTTTTTTTGGAGGGGGGGAGGTTGTCTGTGAAGTAGGGTGGGGGGTGAGTGATGTTTTAACGCTATTTTCGCGTCAACAAAATGGTCAACAATGTTTAGTGTACATGGTGACACGAAAAAAAAGGTGACAAAAGTTCTAAAAAAATCATTCCTTAAACACAAGAGAAATATTTCAGAAATAGAACAAAATCAAATAAATAAACTACAGATACTTATTGTACAATTTTTTTCTTACATATTCATCATACTATCCACTTCCTTCCCTTTATTGTGTGATTAGGAAGGAGTGAAAGAAAGATCTAGAGAAAACTAAAACATTAGTGTCAATTTATGTAAAAGGAATTTCCAGATAAGCCTTCAAATTTGTCCCTTTTAGGTTTGCTTTTCCATAAGTACACATTTCTATTATCAATGAAGATCTATTTTCCCCCTAGACATCTTTTTTTTCACATTCCAGCGTGCAATCTCTCCCTCTATCTCTTCCCACAAGCACTCTTTTAATTCGTCGCCATTCTTTTGTTATTGATGTTTTTGATTTTTTTTCCTGCACAAAAAAAAAATCACCTTTACCGCATGATTTCTTCGAATTCCATCATCCCCTCCCTGAGAGAAGGACCGATTTGCTTTGCGGGGTTGTAGCGACAGAGCGGGCAGCCAGAGCCCTTCATACATTGATATTCATAATCCCGTGCAATAAAGAAGTGTTGACAACCCTTACACAGTTTAATAGATCTGTTAGACTCGACTAATCGATAGTAGCGATTCGGCACGGGCAAGACCCCGTAGCGAGGGTTCATAATAAAAATTCCTTCACGCTTCAACGATTTGATGAGACTTGCGTTAGCGACAAAAGGCTGATATTCACCTTTCACACGATTAGAACGCATCACATACTGCAGTTGCGTGAAAAAGGGATCATCCCCTTTGTTGGCCGCTGCTTTGGATTTCCCCATTGCTATCAACTGATTATCGATTTCATAATCTATGTTTTCGCTCTCAAAATTAATGACGTTGACGCCGGTACCCTCACTCCATTCCTTACCCGATTGAACAGGATTGGCATCTTCATTGAGAGTGGCTCTATTCCACTGGTCCTGAGAGTCCCCGTCCGATTTACCACCTAGGTTAAAAGTGCCGGCACCAAGATCAGCGCGAATCAACTTCTCCGCTATGTTATCCGTCAAATCATTCGAGAGGGTAAACTCCACGAGTGGTAATACCTCAAAGTTAACAAATGAACGAACAAAAGGGTGATAGCAGTTCGGGCAGCGATCACCAGGATCCGTCAGCTGCGGCACGACATGTTTACAACGATAACACGTATCGAGAAGTTCATCCCGATCCGCGTACCGTTTACAACGCGCCAGAAGGGTTTCGATGCTCACCTGCTCTAATATGGGTGGAGCGAGTATTACAGAATGCAGCTTCTCAAACACCGCGCGAGCGGTGCGCACCATGTCCAGACGGCATGCCGTGCGCGCCAACGTGCACAGGATCTCCGCCTTCCCAATGTTCATCGGGATCACCCCCTCACTTGCCATCGCAAGCAGATAACGCGACATTCGATAAAGGCGAATTTCGTTGTATGGGAATGGCTGCACCATGTGGGTATAAATGTTCGCGTACACATAATACATATCGGCACGTCGGACGCATTCATTGCTCTGTTTAATAAGCGCGGCCATATGCATCTCGCTTGGGTGATCGTCATCCTCAAATTGCCCGTACTCGTTGGCAAGGTGAATATAGTAAAATGCGGCGTCGCGGAACTTGCGGCAGGTGACGCTGTTGGAGGCCAAAACCTCCATCATTCGCACCGTCTCCTTCGGCCACTCCGCGGCGCGAAAGGCCTCAAGCGCCTCCTCAAACTTGTCATTCTCCGCCAGCCAGTTAGCCCAAGGGACGTAGAGCTCGCGAGTGTACTGCGGGCATTTCTCGAAAACCGCAAAGGCTCTTTGCCAATTTCCCGTCTCGACATAGATTCGGATGAGAGAGTGGTTATCACCCACCTTTTCGTACGCCTCGATAGCGAAGGGAATGGCTCCATTCTTCTTGAAGCATTCCGCACATTGCGTAATAAGGGCAACCTCGCTCTTGGGAAGAGAGCGGCAGGTCTTCATAAGCTTATCAAGGTCTTTGGCTTGGCTCAACATATGGATGGCCTTGCTATAGTCACCAGAAGTCTCGTAAAGAAAAGCGGCTTCCGCATAGTTTTTCGATTCTTCAGCCCAGAGTGCTTGCTGGCAGATAAGATCCTTCAGATGTCGATCATCGCTACAAACCTTCCGTGCATCTTCCCACATTTTCATATCACAAAACATATCAATCGCACGATCTTCGTATCCAGCCTTTACATATTGTCGAGCGGCCTCCTTAAATTTGCCCTGGAAGGCCAACACGTCACCTAGGAGAACATTTCTTTGATCTACCTCATTCTTTCCAGAGTCCGAACCGATTTCTTTTTGTTGTCGACGAAACAATTCCAGGTTGTTCAGTAGCTCAACAAACTTCGTATCATGAATGCAAGTAAAAGCTTTTCGCGCGATATCAAGCTTAAGCGCAGACATAGCATGCAACCCAAGCATCTTCCAATCGCTCTCGGTGATCCCCAAGCGTGCGATTAGATAGGCAGAATCAAAGTCTTTGGATTCAATATAACGATAGAGTGAGTTGGCATGCGGCACATCTATGGTCATAATATTGTTTCCTTCAAGAGTATAGACCTGATACGCTTTGAAGCTCACCACGGACCCCTGCACTGTCTGTTGATAAGCTGGAAGTGTGTCGGTTTTGATATTTAGAGTGTTAGTTCCCGTAGTGTATGCGATCATATTATCATTTTCCATACACCAGGCCACCGTTTTCGTGTCGGGCTCTGAAAAAAGCAAAGCTCCCTTATTTTCAAGGTCAAAGACTCGAAGCAGGCTATTAGTGTCTATAACGGCAATTTTCATGCGGTTGCTACTCAGGTCCAACTGTCGAATCGGTGCGTCAAGCGTAATAAGTGTTGTAGGGAAAGGATTGTCAATAAATATTTTCATCACTTGACCATTTTCAAGACCAAGGAGAAGCGCTTCACGGTGATCTGGGCCACCATCTACCTTAATGAAGCTAATCACGCTATCAACCACCCATTCGCGGCGCTTGTTGCCATCGAAATCATACATAGTTATTCTACACTCCTTGCACAGAATAACAGCATGCCCCGTAACGCAGAGCATCTTGCAGTCCAGGTTCCTACGGATCTGTGCGATATCATGGTACCGCATACTTCTTTCATCATCATAAAAAGGCTCAAAAATGACAATTCTATCCTTAAATTGCACCGCCAGCCGATCGCGAAAGGTCGCAATTTTGTATACGTAATTATTACATGGAATAACCATCCTGCGATCAATGGATGGTTGGTACACAACGACATTGGTCATCCCCTCACGATAGACAAACTGATCCATGTAGATACTTTGAAGGGGGCTTGTGGAGACCTCCAAACAAAAAATCGTTCCGTCGTTCGTGCCGCAACAGATTTGGTTACTTTTAGGCCGTTGTTGGACGCACCACACCCAGCTGTCCGCATTAGTCAAGGTTAAAAGGTTGCTACCATCTTTAGTGTACAATGAAACTTTGTGATCGCTACCACTCAGTATGAGGTACTCCCCGTTATCGTAAAAAGAGATACAGCAGGGTTCAAACCCAAGGTCGTGCTCCTTGCCAACAAGCGTACCATTCAGGTTGTAAAATGACAGGCTCTGATCCCAAGAACCAACAGCAAGAACATCGGCACCATTTTCTCGTAAAGAGCTAAACCTGATAGTCCACACAGGATGCTTTCGTCGAATTAGCACCTTTTCTATTTCATCACTCCCGACAGTGATGATACTCCCATCTATCATTCCTATTGCCAGCGTCTGTCCGTCAGCCGTCCATGCCCCACATAAGCCTTTGGACTGAAGCCGGTGCTTCACCACCTTTCCCATGGATGGTCCCCACACCGCCCAGTCCACGGACGAGATCGATGCAATCTTCGGGCTCGTGGGGTTCGCTACCAAAGCTTGGATCGAGGCCTTGTGTCGAAACTTGAGGACACCCTCAAACTTATTGGTCCAGATGATCACCGTCATATCCGCCCCGCCACTGAGAAAACGCTGACCGTCAGACATGTAATCCACACAATACACAGTGTTCTCATGGCCTTTAAGAGAATACAGGAGGGTCCCGGTAGAGGATGCGTACACCTGCACATGCAGTCCACACGCCGCTACAATGTAATCACCACACGGGCTGTAAGCAATGCTGTTAATTTGCGCTCCTTTGCTGGTCCCAGGTACCACTTGTGTCCATTTAATGTTATCCTGCATCGTCAATCAATGAGAGTAAAAATGCTTGAAACAAACGAAAATTTTTACACAGTTCCAATCGCTAAATAAATGAATTAAAAGATAAAAAACCTGAGATAGCTTTTTAAATAGAGGAATAAAACCTCAACTGTTGCTACTTTTAAAGAAATGCATATTTGTGAAGGGAGAGGAATGAAAATACGTAGAAGAAATCATACAACTGTTTTCTAGCGCCAATTTGATAGGACAGGGGTGTGATTTAATTATATTTTAAATAAAAATAATGCCAAGTAGCTTTTGTATCGAAGATGGTACACTATTGTGGAGTAATTCCCTCTTACTCGACGACAGGGGCAGCGGTCTCGATGTTTTCGTCCTCGGTGGCGCGGTAGTTGGCGCGTTCGCTGCCAAACCCTCGGCCCCGACCACGCCCGCGACCACGGCCCTCACCGCGTCCACGTCCCTCACCACGGCCACGCCCCTCACCCCGACCACGGCCACGGCCACGACCGTCGCGAGTGCGGCCCTCCATGACCTTTTCGTAGGCATTGCTGGTGGGTTTGTGGCTGTTGGGGACGGCGTTCGGCGCGAGATGCAGAAA